TCATCTCCTAATCGCTCAAGCACCATGGATAGTCACACTTTCATAACACATGGGTGTCAAAGCGTTACCTGCACGTTCAACCATGCACAGTCTTCAGTGATTGGTCACATCGGATGGTTTCTTTGTTCTCCAAATCTGAACAATTGTGAATGAATATTACATATTGAGTTGTGAACATGCATGTAAGGTTTCCTGTACAGCTGAATATGGTGAGTACAAATAACTTTGAAATATATGTACTTTGTACGTATGACTTGATTTGAAGCATACCCTCCTCAACAAGAAAGAGAACAGGGGAGGGGGAATAGTTTCAAATGGGTGTACATGTATAAGTGTGAAAATGCATACTACGTTTCATCAGAAGTTGGGCATGTGCGCACAGTGCATCAAAAGTTGGGCATGTGCGCACAGTGCATCAGAAGTTGGGCATGTGTGCCCAGTGCATCAGAAGTTGGGCACGTGCGCACAGTGCATCAGAAGTTGGGCATGTGCGCACAGTGCATCAGAAGTTGGGCATGTGCGCACAGTGTATCCCATGCCAAATGTGCATGACCCTGCATGCGGACCAATACGCTTCGAGTTCCCATTAAACGATTGTTGTTGCTGTATGAAAGCATGGTATGGTACCCCTTGTTCCTGTGTGGAGAAGAAGGGAGAAATGTAATGTACAATCAACTGTTACTCACAATACCATTTTCTGTGTAAGGGACATGCGCATAGCCGAACTGAGCGTGTTGTGATTGTGCGAGCGGGATGCCATGTAGTCTTTGTTCGTGCACTTGTTTGGTGCTTAAACTAGTCTCCTCCAGCTCCTCACCCTTGAGCGACTATCCATTTTGCCGCAGGCGCCTTGATCAAAGGCTAGGTCATTGTGTACTCTACCGGTATGTTCTGTGACCCTCATCCGTATCGGTATTGTTCGGCTGCTTCAAGCAGATACTTAGCAAATTTATGTAATCGGCATAACAAGAGCAGTGAGCCATTCAGTAGCAATAGACATCCCGTGCAAGCTGAGCTGGTAATCCAGATCAGCTAAGCAGGTCCTTTCCAGGACTGAGCAACTTGTCTGCAGTCGATTCGTAGTTTTTTCAGCTTTTGAAAGAGTAACCCTCCCAGACATCTTTCCCCTCTCCTCTCCCCTCCCCCTTTGACACGATCCACTGTACCTGGAGGGTGGAGATGGAGGGGGGGGGACGGGTCTCCTGCGTTACGGCACATCCTTCCGTTGTAGACCTGGGTTTCCTACATGTACATGTATGTATCATGACTGTCAAGTGCTGCGCATCCATATACTTGAAGGTAACGAGGTATGCGTCATGCCTCACCCTTTGCACCTTTCACCGGAAGGCCCACCGGTGCAGTCATATGGATGTTCACATAGCAAACCCTGATTGCGTAAATGCTGTGAATACATACAGTGTACCCGGTATACGTGCACTGATCATTGCACTAATTTCTTGTCACACCAAACTGAAACTTCCAGAAAGCATTCAGGCTTTTGCTCCCAGAAATGTGATTAGTTTTCTTTGTTAACGTACAAAGTGTAGTGTGCTCTCTATGTACGGCATAATGACAGGGAGTGTACATGTATACAATACGTGTCGTGCACACAGATAACATGTCTATGGGATGGGGCTCTGTAACCACTACTCGCGCCTGTGTCCATGTACATGTATGCACCTACTTGTACATTGTACCTGTACATGTATATCCGCACCGCCCCCCCTTAGTACATGTACGCTTCCTTTTTCTGGACCAGCAGTTTACCCTATTAAGACAGTATGACCACCGATTTTAATTTTTTTGGGGGGGAGAATTGGGAGAAATTGTGAAGAATGTTTGAAAATAATAAAAAAAATGTGTCAAATTGTTGTTTGACTTATACGTGTAGCTGGTACCCTTCCAAGTGTTGTTCATTTTGTTTGAAACAAATGCTTCCAACCTTTCTTATGTTTAACCAGTTCACACCCATCTGCACACTGAATCAGAATTAAAAAGCCCCCCCCTTCAAGAAAAAGAATTGCCTGCTTTCCTACCCTACGTCCCTACAGTTGTTCATATACCACGTAATAGGAAGCAGAACTACTTTTTGGGGGGGCATCAAACCCTAACTAACCCCTAGGATGTTTGTGAAATTATATTGAAATCAGGGGATTTGGGACTGTTAAGGTGAAATGAAGCAGACAGAAAGTACCTGTATGTATGCACATCAGTGTATTAGCTTGCGAGCAATGCAATATCAAAAACGACAGAGACTACCAGAGACAACATGAAGAAGCTTCTAAAGCTGTCAAGTTGGCCTTGGACACCGGTTGTTACAGACTTTGTGCTGCGCGCTGGGTTTGCGTGCTTCGCACATGAATTCTTGGCTCTTCAAGTTGCACTCCCACTTTCCCCCATCGTAGCTAAAACCCTGATGTACATGATACATATCAGTGCCATACCCTAGAATCTTTGCCAAGATACTTAACCCTACATGTAATTTTCCTTTGTAAAATACCCAGCACGTAAGAGACACATACGTGCACCTGTACCCGATCAGTAAAATTCGCAGAGTCACTTTATTCGCGTTCCTGTACGCGATCAGTACGTGATCTTGCCAAGAGGGATGAGGTAGTCCAACTTTCAATTGATTTTCCTCAGATCACTCACTCACATTGTTTGCGCTTGCTGTTTCATCCCCAGTGTACATTCACTTGCAGTTAAACCCCCCCATCCGCTTCACTCTAGTGATTTCTAAGTGGCCCCGAATCCGTAGAGGAAAATTGTTTTCTCGAAATTGCAGTAATATTCGTCTGTGTGGGCCATAACAGAGTTGAGCGGGTCCCGCATGTTTATTAAGATAAGAAGAGAAAGCCCTTAAGTAACAAAATAACATTCCAGAGTTTTTGTTAATTTGAAAAACACCTGGACAGAGAATATGCCATCCCAGGTCATTGGCTTTCAGCATTCTTGGGCTTCGGTGAGTTCGTCAGTCAGGTTTTTTTTTTCTTTCTCTCCTTCGTCCTTGTTTCTTGAGGCTACAGGGGATGGCAGTCCATGTATTTCAGTGTTGATCCCAGCCCAAGTGGCTGGAAAAGACTGTCCTAAGGCACGTGGGGGACAGGGAGAGAGCTGGCAATGACAGAAACTGAAGAATTGATGAAGTGTGCGACCATTTGCCAAGGAAGACTGGCTTCACATCAGTTAAAGAGATACATGTGTTCAGACGTAGGTGGATGGACACACTGTATAGCAAGTGTTTTTCCCACAATGTCTTCCTTAAAACAGGAAAGCTTTATACTTGGATCTCTGGGAACGTACTCGTACATGTATAGGAAATGAGCATGTTAGTTTACTTAAGAGAAAGTCTGGCTCCTGCAAGATCTTTTACATTTAATAATTGCATACAAGTTTCACAGGTGCAGGAGTATTGTTTCCTGAAACTGATGTCTTGGTCGAGTTCTGTCAAATGTACAGTACATGTACGTTCACATGTGTGTGTGTGTGTCTATCAGAAAGAGAACTTACACATCTACCTATACAGTGTACATATGTGCATGTACATGTTTTCAGTTTTACATGCTCTCCCATTTTGACTGTGAGGAGGAGGTTGAAACTGCATGATATGCACTGACTGGACAAGTACATGTACATGTACAATAAATGCTGTTAATTTGTTACTTGTTCATACTTCATCGTAGACTCTCATGTACATGTCAAAATAGCACGGTGTTTTGTTAGGAATAAGCATTGTACATGTACATATATGTATGTGTAGTCTTGTACACAAGTTGCAGCATCTCTTTTTGGGGTGCGGAATCTTTGAGTCAGATGTTGATTGGCACTGGTTATTATGTGTGCTTTTGTTTTTGCTGGTATTCAGTCTGGACACCAGTGATGGGTCATCGAATATTCCCATGGGTTTGTGTACTGTCTCACCCCACCCATGAAGACTGTTGAAGGGCTCCATGCATTCAGTCGTCCCCCCAAAAAAACACCCTCTTGAAACCACTCATTTGGGCTCAAGATGGCCTCTGTCCATCCTCACAAGTAGCCCTCTCCATACCCTCTCCAGCCCCAACCCGGATCTTCATGGCCCCTTTGTCCACCACCTGCGTGCATTCTGGTGTTATTCAACTTTCCAGGGGGGGGGAGAGCTTTTGAAGGTTTTCGATCTCTCCTGGGTTTCAGGTTGGGGGATTATTAGAAACCTGATGAATACACAGGGAGCAAATAGCCCAACGCCTCTGACAATGGGGCCAGACACCTTCGCATTCTGCTCAAGGGATTGGTAAAATTGGACAGTGTATACCCGATTGATTTCACTAAGACGATTACCCAGCCGAACCATTCACAAGACTCCATTGTTTACGCTTGGCCAGCTAGCATATTCATCCGTTCAATGCATGGACAGACACTTGCGCTGGAGTCGTGTTGTACGGGAAGAAAGTGACTCCGAAGACAATGGAAACAGCTCTAGAGATATGCCCCTGCATGAAAGCCCCATCTTGCCTTTTTTTTTGTGTTGTTTTGGCACGTCCCACTGCATGTCAATGCATAGGTGTGAAGAGAAGAAAAGATTGGGGGGGATTGTGAAGGGCGAAACCTAGATCGGTAGGGGGGCCTTTGTTGGCACTGACAAAACCGATTTATTGGTCATCTCTTAGTCTTACGTCGCACCAGGTGGGAGGGGGGGAACAGTAAGAGTGCATAGCACTCAACAAACTTCACTCCTCCCAATCTCCAAGACTCTTGTATCGGCATGCTCCGAGTGTGAGTGTGTGTGTGTGCATTGGCTTCAGCTCAAGGATGCCAGAGCCCTGAATGGGCACCCATTGTTAGCCCTCCGTCCCGTTCAGCCTACCCCTCTTGCCTGTCTTTCAAGTGGGCGCTGGGCCGTGGCAGGTGTGCTGGGCCCCACCGGGGCTGGTAATCCTAAGATCCCTGGTACCGCGCGGGGGCTTCAGTGTTTGTGTTTCCACACAGTGGACCTGACCCAGTGCCCAGCCAGTCAGTTACAGCCTATTGAAGGAGGAAGTTGCGCCAGGGTGGGAGCTCGTGTGGTCTCTCCTTCTTTTCCTTTGCCGTGCAACAATACAAAGAGAACCCGGGTTTGTTTTCACTGAGGGGGAAATTCAGTGGAGGGAAACACTGCCTCAGGTGTTGGCATTTTTTTTTTCTCCTCGTGCTTTTTTTGGTCTGTTGCAAAAACATCACCAGTGGCTGAAGTACAGGTTGCCGTTGAGGAGTTTGACTTCAGTAGATGGCTATTGTGCTACGATAGAAACAACTGTGCATCGGTTGATGAAATCATACCAGTGTGTCAAAATCAAGCCAGAGACGAACTAACGAGAGACGATGGTTGTGCTCCGAGGGCTGATGATACAGCCTTCATTTAAAGCTGCTCCGTACACATAGTTAATCCTCTCTGAATGAACTGTGCAGTTACTGCCAAGCAGCTGGAGATGACACACACACACATTGGTAACAGCAACCTACGAGGGAGAAAAATTTCCTCATGTTTTGAGCAGACAGTCGCCCATCGACTTGCATAGAGAGCAGGGCAACAGTTTCGCTGAAAGGGTTTTTTTGATCATTCTATCTCTAAGCTGTCCGAAACGACCGAGATAAAGTCATGTCTGGAGGAGTGAATTTGACACGACGGTATCATCGCCCATGCGTTCATACATGTACATGTACCTTCCTGAGGTTTCCATTTCTGCACTGACTATCGCCTTTCCCTCCCAGACCTCTTCAGATACCCCCCCCATCAGGAATTGTGTGAACATCATACCTCTCTGCAGATTAAAAAGTCAAACCGCCCCGTCGTTATAACCCTTTCCCCCCATTTGGATTTAACAAGCTCTAGAAGACTATTTTCAAGGATTTGGCGGTGTATTTTGTAAACTCTGGAGAGCCATGGCGCCGTTCAACCCATTTGTGCATACACTGAAAGCCAAAGGTAAGACAGCTCAGAATACCAATGAACGCTTGTTTGTTACCGAATGAAAGCAGCTCGGTATAAAAGCGGCGTAATCAAGACTCGAAATGCAATCGTGGTCAGTCTTATTGATTACAGTCGGCGTAATGAAAATGGTAGTTTGTGCAATGTAAATTTATCAGTGTGTTAGGCCTTAGTCTGAATGCAGGTGCTATCATGTTATGGCATGGCTAATCATTTGAGAGTGGGTGCATCGTAGATGTGCATGTAATATTTAATTGGCTCCAACCTGTAGAAAGTTTGTGTAGAACTACATACATGTACAATACATGCAGTGTATACATGTAAACATGTACACGTATCACTTGTAGATGGGTAATTCCAAATATTAGGGGTCCATGTGACATTTTTGTGTCCCTGTTACATCTGACCTTTCTTATTTGACATGGAAATATCACCAGAATTGATTTCAAACTATAACTGTTTGTTTGGCAGGTAATTGCATCAGTTCATCACTCTTGGAAATTAGAAAATGTGTTCTGAACTTACAAAATTGTTTGCCAGATGTGACAGGGACACAGAAAAAAAAAGGGACCCCTAATTTCTGGAATTACCCAGATACATGTACTGTAATGTACATGTACATACACATGTATATGAAAGCGATCATGCACTGAAAGTTGGAATCAATTTCTCCACATTTCATGGATGTGTGTGTGGATACAATGGGCACTATATTCAGTCTACGGTTACACGTGCATTGTCTTATTGTTATCACTGGACAGCATGACATATCCAGAAAGGACATGATGCGGACTTCATCAACGAACATAAAGAACATTGTTCATGGAACGGTACCTACTATACTGTAACCAACATGTACATGTACCAGTAGATTATAATGTTCTTAGTACTTT